TTTAAGAATAGGGGAAATTCCTATTTCTTTGAGGAAATAGGTTCTTGTTCCAGAAAAGCAGAGTGTTGGACTAGGTAGCATCTTGTCTTCCTTGAAAAACCTGAAATACTTTTACTTTTGCCTTATAGGGTATAAATATCAGTAACTAAACCCTCATTTTTCCATTCACTATTGTGATGTTATTAATTATTGGCAATTGCATCAAAAAAATTGGGCATTAGCTTGGTATCAGTTCCTTTGAAAGATGAATCTCACATTTCATTTTTTTATAGTTTCTTCAAATCCTACATAATTTAGTATAATTATTAAGAAGAAAAGGAAAGCTAAGGATTATGGAGTTCAAGAAACATGGCTTTAGCCTAGTAATGCTATAAACAGCAGAAGTGATAATAGTAAAGAGGATTTTGCGTTTTTCTTAAATTGATGCAGCTTTGGGGAGAATTGCAGTTTTAATGCAAAATCATATCTCTAGGAAAACCCATTTGAATTTGTATACAGGATATTTTTTAATGTCTCTCTGATTTTGATTTTGGTGTATAAAAGACCAGGCATTGATATCTTTCCAAAAGTTAGTTGAGAAAATAAATGCTTAAAAGGCAGTTAAGTCAGTGGCTCATTATGTATGACATTATTAACTCAGTGCATCAATAAGTTAAAAAAGTTATTTAATCCTTGACTTGAGTTTTAAATATGTGATGCTATAATTTAGTGTAAAGTTGGGCAAAATTTGGTTACAGGTGTTTTTGGAAGCGCTTCAGTACCTTAAAAAATACTTTGGAATCATTGACTCTCAGGAGTTGAAAGGTCATTTAATCCAACCACCCATTTAATGCCTGAACCTTCTTGCTAAATCAAATAATAATAATAAAAGGACAAGGATAAAAAAAGAAATGGGTGTGGCTTAGAGACAGCTTTTAAGCAGGATTTAAAAATTTAGCTTGTAGGCTTTTAAAGTGTAATTATACAGGGAGGTAGTAGTGTTTTTATTTGCTGTTTACCTTTGATCTATTACCTATTTTTGGTAGAGTGGGACACGCTTTTTTGAAAATGTTTATGGTTTCTTCATTTGATGTCAGGATACTTGTTTGAAATTGCCTCGTAATTCAGAGGTTTTTCTTTTTGTAATTAATATTAAGTTTTAGCTTTTGCTGCTAGATTAGTAGTAAGCCTGGATTTGGGTGCCTACTTTTGAATATGTAAGTGATATACTAAATTTTAGAAATAGCTTTATTTTGGGATCAAATTAGATATGGTAAGTATAAATAAAAAATAAATAAAAATAAAAAATCTAAATAACACCAACTCATAAGAATAACAAGGTAAAAATAAGCCTTATCTCATTCAGTGTTAATGTTTTTGTTAAATTGTACTTCATTTTGTGAAACTTCTGTGTGTGTATATACACATTTAATTTTCTGTAAATTGATTGGTTCTTATTATATATCTTGTATTTTTAAATTCAACAATATATTGTGGCCATCTTTATGTCCATAAATATAGATTTATATTATAATTTTTAACGTTTAAAGAGTAGTGTTATAGGTATGTACCATAATTTACTTACCCAGTTAGTAGGTTATTTCCAATTTTTGGCTGTTATAAAAATGCTATAATGAACATACATATTACATGTATATATAGTTTAACATTTTTGTGATTAGTTCCTTAGGATAATTTTTGGAAGTAGATTGCAAACTCAGAGGATATCAGCGTTAAAAATTTTAGTACTTACTGTCAAATTACCATTCAGAAAAGTTGAATCCAATTTATAATCCCATCAATGGTACATGAAAGTGTTTATTTTCCCACACCCTCACCAATACTAGTTTGTGTACAGTTTACAAAATATTTCGCCAGTATTGTATGTGAAAATATTTAATTTTTTTGATTATTAGTGAGATTATACATACTTTCATGTTATTGGACATTTATATTTCTTCATTTGTAGACTTCCTCTTTATATCTTTGTGCATCTTTATATTGAACTATCTGTAGCAATTCACTTCTTATGTATTAAATAAAGGATGTGCAAAACACTTGACAACCCAATAAAATGGAGCATGTCACCACCATGGTCAGATGTAATAGCCTGTGGCCCAGGTTGGATTATTGCTTGTTTGAAAAAACCTTGAGGAGAAAGACCATATTTGTTTTTTAAATTTATTTTTAAATTGAGATATAATTGACATATAGCATTGTGTTACTTTTAGGGGTACAATATAATGATTTATTTTATTTTTTAAAATTTTCACTTTCGTACTGGCCAGGGCAATCTCTAACGCATGGTCACTACTTGCTGAATGAATGAATGAGCCAACAGGAATGCAACAATCCCTGTGATTGGGTGTTCTGAGGATTCATTTTACTAAAAAGATTGTGATTTTCCAGAACAGGTGGTTATTTACTCTGGCATTTCCTTCTGTATCTTTTTACTTTTGTGCTGCCCTCAGGACCAAAATAACCTCTTTTATTTTGGAAATGTATTCTTCTGCTTAAATTTAACTAGTTCTTAAAGAAGTAGCTTACTTCAAGTTGGTGTTAACTCTTGTGAGTTAATTCTTAACTCTTTGCCCATCATAAAATGCTGCTTGTTTATTCCTAAATTCTATGTAGAAGGAAGTATGCATTAAAATCTTTTTTTCTTTTTTTATAATAATGAACTCTGTGATTTTAGAAGTTTATAGTTTTTTTAATTGTTTGCTTCAAAATTCACAAATAGTGTAAATCAGTTGATAATGAGATTCAGAGTTGCTTTTTTTTTTTTTTTAAAGATTTTATTTTTCCTTTTTCTCCCCAAAGCCCCCCAGTACATAGTTGTATATTCTTCGTTGTGGGTCCTTCTAGTTGTGGCATGTGGGATGCTGCCTCAGCGTGGTCTGATGAGCAGTGCCATGTCCGCGCCCAGGATTCGAACCAACGAAACACTGGGCCGCCTGCAGTGGAGCGCGCAAACTTAACCACTCGGCCACGGGGCCAGCCCCTCAGGGTTGCTTTTAACATATGTAGCAAGACTACGTTGATAGGACAAATGAGATTTATTGACTTCATATTGATGTGTATTAAAATATAATTTGCCCTGAAAGTCTGGAATCTAACTTGTTCCAAATTTAAAATATTTCCAGAGTTAGAGATCTTAACTCCTAAAGAGTCCAGTCATTGAAAAAATGAGATCTGGGTCAGCCACAATATTTTCTGGTTGCATTTTATTTTATCCCCCATCATTTAAATGCAAATGGTGGAATGAGACGTATCATGTATATTACATAACTCTAGTTCATGCTTTTAAAAGAATAGTTGCTAGAAAGACAAAGTGTGATTATTTAAAAGATTTCTAAGTACTTAAAAACCCTTTTGGATTCTTCCAGAGTTTAGGCTTTTGGATATATAGCATTTTGATATAGATGTATTTTGTGGACAACTTCAAAATTATAATTTATAATTCAAGGTAGGATAAGATGTGAGAATAGTTTGTATTAGAACCAGGATTCTTTGCTGGCCTTGAATAGTACACTGAATGTGTCCACATAGGCTTGTGTGGTATCCCAGATAAAATTGCTCTCCTGGATCAAGAAACATCAGAAGGCCATGAGGAGGAGAGGGGTGTAATACCAAAATGAAATGACAGCCCTTCCTTTCCCTAGCCTGACTCTCCTGTATATCTCACATCCATGGAAGTAGGCATTACAAGTTGCTGGAAACTGGTGAAAATGGATTGAGGAAGGCCTGAGGCACCATTCCCTACAAAGAGAAGGGGGTCTGGTGAAGAAACCTAATGGATATACTGGCCATTGATACTTAAAGCTGTCCAAATGCCCAGGACTTTATTATCTATCAATCCTGACTAGAAAATAGAATAAATTACCTGGGTCACTTAGGCAAAAGCATATTATAGGAGCTGAGTTAGATATTTATTTCATATCTTAACAATTTCAGATGCTGATATCTAAGATATTATGGCCGTTTGAGCTATAAATGCAACATTGGGAGGAGAGGTTCCTACAAATGATGTTGATCGAGCCATTTTTTTTTCAGAAGGAATTTTATTTAAACCTAGTTAGCTGGCTAACTAGGTTAGTTAACTAACCTAGATTTTTACAAGGTATGTTTAAAAAATGCGGATTGAATCAAACCAATCCCTAGAGTCTAGGAAAGTTTCTGACCTAAATTAGAAACCCAAGCTTCATTATTATTTTCAGTTGAACACTACTCATAGCCATCCTCACATTTTGGAAAGAATACAGCCTTTGCAACAAAGTTTCTTTGTTTTCATGAAACTGAAAATGTGCTGTATTTAGACCAAACAATAAAAATAAACTACCAAACTACCTTCTAATGCATGGGGGTTCTGGAGAGAGGAAACCATAGATATTTAGAGGCATAAAGTGACTCATTGTGCTAGTTAAAACTTTTTACAAGGCTAGCTCTGTGTATTTGAGTTGCATCTGTTACCTCTTCAGCCAGAACTAAAGTGTGTGCAAGCAAAAGAATTTTGGGTTGAATTGGGGCTCATACAGAATGCACTGTATATAGCCTAAGCATCTAAATGGGTTCACCTTAGGTAGAACAAAAACTGCATCCTTTCACATTTATTCTACCTACAAGGTTTTCCTGTTGGACACATCCAAGATATTTTCTATGAAGTGAATTCATTTTAACTTGTAGACATAAATTAAACATGTTTTTCAAATGTAACTTGTAAACCTTTATTCCCTTAAAAAAATTTCTCCCTTTGTTTTTCCTTATTCATACTTTTAAATACCTACTGTATTACTGACAATTTTTTTAAAAAGCTATAATGGATGGAGATGTTGTATTCTTAGAACAATGAAATAATTGTTTTTTTTGTTATTATCATCTTGGAAAAAGTTGTTAGAGGAGATGGGGACAACTGCCTGAGTTAAAAATAGTGTAATTTGTAGCCAAAATATATACTTTTTAAATAATGCATATAAATACAATTTACTCATCCTTTTCATGTCATTTTCTGTCTAAATTTTCAGGTCATTTTCATGAATTCAAAGGCAATTTACCAGTGATTTCTGGGTGCTGGGGCTGATTTTCTGTGCATATTTGTAAGTATTGGTTTATTTATTACTCTTCTCATTGTGTAATGGAACAGTTACAGTTTGTAAACATGTTCTTAACTTCTTTTGTGTGAATTTTTATTAGTTTTTTGGTAAGTATTTAAAAAGTATTATTAATGCCAGTTTTTCAAGTATTTTCTTAAGAGGAGTATAGAAAAAATATCAGCTGGTGAAAAAAGCCTCAGTTTGTTGTGATTTCCTATGAAATAACACAATGGCAGGGCCCATTACAATTAGCAGAAGGATAAATATCTTACTTTTTGAAGATGGGGCTCAATTGTAGGATTACCCTAAAGTGGCTAGTCTGTATAGACATGAATAATTTACCCTGATAACTTCTTCCAATCTTCTGGTTGTCTGGGCTTGAAAAGTGCTATGGGCCTGTGCTCAGAGAAAAGATGTGAGATGATATAGAATTCAAAGAGCTGTCAGTACATGAGGAGATTATATACTAAGGAACCAAAGTCTCATTTAATGAATGTAGAATGTATATTAAAATGGAAATGTTCCTGCCTTCTTCACCATCCCTAAAACACTACTATATTTTAAATGGTATTTTGGAGAATAAAGATACTTTTTCTCAGGAATGAAGGTAAATTTCAAGAAAAATGAGTAAACTTTAATGATCAATTAAAGTACTTTAAATTGATATATGTTTATTAATATAGAAATAGTTTAGAGTATGTCGCAGTTATTAAAAATGTACGTACATAAGACCACGTTTAAGTAACTTGAGTTTAAAATATATTTATATGTTGACATTGTTGTAAACCATTGGCATTTAAGGGTCTCTTTCACATTTGATAACAATGAAGACATAGGAAACTTTTCCTCTGTTAGTGTACTCCCATAAAGGAGTTTTAGAAAATGTACTTACAGGAAAGTATTTGAAAAAAGTAATGTTATAAATTACAGTTTAAGTGATTCAGTATTTAAGCAGAGAGTAGTGAAATGTATTTAAAATGAGCTTTACCTTTCTTTTAGAAGTAGCATTGATTGGGGCAGACATTTTGAACCAACTTAAACAAAATATATGTGAATGTTTAATGTAGTTTAATACATTTTGTATGTTTTTAATGCTTTAAGAATGAAGTTATTTTTATGAGACTATCAATTCATGTTTTATTATTTGAAAACTTAATTCTTAGCTAAAACACAAAAATATTAAACTGCATGGTTCATTTGGATTAAATATAAGCTTTTAATTTGTGCAAGGTATCATAATGATGATTAGGAGGCAAAGAAGATGGAGAAAGAAATGTAAAATATCTTTGAAGGGCTATTAAGAAAAAGGATGATTCCAAGGAGCTGAGCTTTTTCTGTTAGAAATCTGAGTGAAGGGAAATAATTTTGAGCTGTCCAAATCTTATCTTTGATAGTTTATCCTTTCTTTTACCTCCTTTCTCTCTTCTCTCACATCGTTCAATCATTTCCGTTAGTAAGTTTTTAGGATGATTAAATTTTTAAAGTGAGAAACATAAGATAATTACTGGTATTTCAACCAAGATGGCTTTCTTTAAAATGTAGTTCATATTTCTCATCACCCAAAGGCTCTCTTTCCTGAATTCTTCACTTCTTTCCCTGCCTCCCCTCACCCAACCAGACATACATAAATTAGCTTTGAATGGAGGTGATCCAGTTAGCTGAGATTTTTCTTTTCGTCTAACAAAGAGAGAGGCTAAAAATAGAAGGGGCACTGTGGATAGTTTTCATATGGTTATTTCTGGAGTTCAACTTAAAAAAAAACCAAAAATCTTTTAGTGAGATTTTTGTCTGATCACTTAGGTAGAAGTCGTGCTAATCATACAGGCCTAAAGTAATTGTTTTCCAGTTTTGAGAATTTCCATATGCTAGTTTAGGGCATGGACCTTGTTGTTCCTTTGGTCAGTGGTCTCAAACTTTGTTAGAGCCTACTCCTAACTGTGGAACTTTCTTATTAAAGAAATCTGGGAGGATACTATGACTAAGATAAGTCAGATAAAATTAACATGGCATCCAGAATGCTTGAGTTCCCATTCTTTCAATTATTGTGGAAACTGTCCACGACTGACACTGAATGATGAGACAGCTAAAACAATAGAAATATTTACGTAGTCTGGTCTAAGAACAAGCAAATGGCATCAGTGACAATGGCTTCTTTTAGGAACTTTAATTTCCATGTCCTGGGACTGCTTATTTGCTACATGATCTCAGGCAGAAAGTTATACCTCATGGCCATGGAAGGTCTCTCAATAAGGTGTGCAGAAGCCAGTCTGTGAGATAAGGAAGGTGGGATATTGTTTTGCACATCCATAATGAATGGGCCACACCAAGGGTGTGTGAGAACTGATTGGAATCTTACCTACTCACATCTACTACCTAGGTCAGAAGAGGAAAACACTGTGAAGGAAAATGCTTATTGTTTCAGAAGCTGAAAGCGTTTTGTTCTAGTTTTCTTTTTTCTCTTTAAAAAATAAAACTACCCTTTTCTTTCCCAAAGTAGGCGTTGTATAAGAAGACTGTTTTGCATGCTAATATCCCATGTTTCATTTTTTATCTCTAATTAAAAGATAATTATGTCATTCTGACCATTCAATTTTACCAGGGCAATAAATGATTGGTTAAAACAAAACAGAAATGAATTGTTAGACACCCTGCTTTTTCAGATTACCCAAGCCTCTTTAGTAATTTGATAATGAATTCCTTTTTATAAAATTCTGTCTCTCTTCATGGTCTCTAATAGCAATCTTTTACTTGAAAAGGTACAAAAGTATTTTATTGTCTGGTACAAAAAGTAATTGTTGCTTAGTCCCATGCTTGGGCAATAATAATAACAATATCTTAATTTGATATAACACTTACTTTTGCAGACATTAAATTGGCTGAATTTTGTAAAAACTGTAAGACGAGTAGGAATTATCCTCATCTTTGCAGAGTAGCAGGATTCCAACTTAGAGATCCATGGTATAAATTCAGTGCTCATTCTGTAATAGTACTAAGCTGTCCTTTCTCAGAAGTTTAGCCCTTTCTTTTGTTGTTTTTGATCACTAGCTTAGTCTCCATTTGGTTGCTGTACAAATATTTTCAAAAAGTTGAGGTATGGTCAGTCAGAAAGGAGATTGTAGAGAGCCTTCTACCACTTCATTTCCTCTTGTTCCTGGATCATTTCCTCCTCCCTGACACCTCTCATTTCCTTATTCCAAACTGCCACATGTCATGCTTCAGCTGAAATTTTTTGAATTGTGTAGATTTTTAGGAAACAAACAAAAAGAATCACAAATTCATCTCTTTGTGGTATTTCAAAATGGAAAGAAATCTGTTTCAAACTGAGCATAGCCCAGACCAAAGCTCCCTCGGCAAGAACATCTGTGATTTTAAGGACAAGTAGATCTAAGTGCATTATCTTTAAAAAATATTATTCCAGACTAATCTTGACATAGAGCAGGTAAATAAAAAAGATGAGCTGTGAAAATCCACAAATAGGGCTTGAATGCCATTTTCCATGACAACGGGAGCTGCCCATGAAAGCATTAATGCTGGGAATGTAAGGAATTTAAAATTGTGCCTTCTCAGTTTTACAGTTGTGTGCTCATGTTAATTAGAGATATACTGACATTTGAAGTATCTACATTAATACACACAGCTACTATACATTTGTGAACTGTGGCCAGAAATCTACTTTAATTGAAAGCAGTTTGCTAATCTGAATGTGTATATCCATTACGTTTTAAGCTTTTAAGTTTTACATACTAGTGCCCTTAGATACTTGTTCTATCTGCTCTTTCCACTTTCTGTTTCTAATTTATACCTGAAAGGACAGCCTGGCCTATTTTTAATATCCTAGTGGTGTTTTGGAGCAATATTGGTGGAATTTTGAGAAAAAAATGTTTTTAATAGTGTCCTTTATTTGCTGTAGTTTGAATCTCTTTTCCCTTTCTGACTTTCTAAATTGTTGGTTTTTCCTGCAAACCTTTAAGATGAAATAAGTAGGATTTAGGTTTATGGAATTTGCTTCACTGTCTATATTTAAGCACTAAAAGGCTACTCTTCAGAGTCACACTATGGTTTTAGCCAGAAAAGCCCAGTGTTAGAGGCCTTGATGAGATGGACATTGAAGAGGCATTCTGGTTTTTCTAGTACAGCTGTTTCAGCTTTCCCTCTTGATGTCAAGGCATGTATCTTAATTTTTGATTTGCAAATATCTTCATGATAGCTTGAGGACTTCTTGAGGTCGTGTTTAGCTCTAGAGTTTTTGCTTTGGCTGTCTCACACTTAAAGGAAGACCTTACCTCTATTTTTTGCAAGCTTGTATTTCTTAAGAATCTACCAGTCAGGATTTTTAACCTAATTGTTTTGTGCTTGTTGTCTAATAAAACTCCCACACTTACTTTTTGGACCAATCCCTGAATATTACACAAGACCAGTTAGAAAGAAGCTTCCTTTTTGTCGCACAAGAACAAACTGCTCTAAAAAGTTTGTAATACTCTGGACTTGTTTCATTAAACCATTTTACTGGCACCATTAAATCACTGAGACCTGGGACCATTAAAACTTACTCAGTACTATTATTAGTATTATGGCCTATTTTACCCTTTATTACTTTTTTTCACTGTACTAAGTTCCTCTGTTCTTTATTCTTTCATGTTGCTTACTACATATTGTGCCATCACAGCACATTTGGTAATTTCAAGTTAATTGCTCAATTATCAGTGATAGTCATGAAGCACTTGAAACATGCGCAATGGAAGATTTAAAAAATTTCAAAATAAGTTGGTGTGTCATAATCTTAAATATGAAACATGCCAATATCTGCAGGCATAAAAATACACTGCCTGAGCTAGGCATTTCAGGGAAGGCAAAAACCTACTCTTAAAATCAGGGCTTTTGTTTGGCACTGAAGTGTTTCATCTTTCCTAATTTCACGCATGTCTAAATTTGATCTTGGTTTACTTTTCAACTCTAAAAATTTGGTTGTATAAAGGAAAAGGGAAGTAAAACTGTACTGATTC